CATGTTGCAGACGCCCAGCCGCGCAGAAACCTGACACACACACACACACACACACACACACACATTCATAGAAAACACAAACACAGTTAATGAGTGTTAACACCTCGGCATCACTAGGGAGATGTTCAGCTTTTTAAGTTTTCAGATTTGTTTGTTCATGGTGTACATGTTGGAAGGGTGTGAGTTTTTTTTAAGTTGAACTTCAGCTCCAATATTAAAGGTGGGGTAGGTAATTTTGAGAAACCGGCTCGAGATCGCTAGAATTTGAAAATACACAACCGGAAAAAATCTGCCACTTCCTTATAGAGCCCCTCCTCCAACACACACGAACGCGCACATGACCAATGAGGGCACGAGATAAGTTTGTGCACAGATGGAAGGCTGACAGGCAGGTAGGCCATCCAGTTATTTTAGCCGGGCCGGCTCAAATGATTGGTCGTGCTTTTTACAGCACTACGGCTTCCACAGATGAAATATTTGTATGGATTTTTTGTCAAAGCACTTCAGATATTCATTGCTATCGGGATGTTAAGAGCATTCCATGGAATATAACAAAAAGTGTATCTGAAATAAATGACATACCCCACCTTTAAGTCTATACCAAGCTGTGTCGCTAAATTACAGACACTCCCATGGAGAAAATTAATGCTTTTTTCCTAGTTTCCTGCACACAACGAAATCAAACTAATGGATATCAATGTTCTTGCTAATCACTGACATATCCACGTCTTAAAAGATCACTTTTGCATTTAGTTTACAGAAAGTATTTCACTTTTTTTGTGTTTTTTTTAAATAAAATGATAAAATGCTATTTAAAGGTTAAAATAATAACAAATTAAATCATATTTGGTCGTGATAATCGAGACTAAAGTGGTTAAAAGTTTTGATATGGGATGTGCAGTTTTTAAATGAAGACATGTCTCTATTTTACTAATATATATTTAGACTGTAAGTGTAAATATGGACATTTAATTGTATCTCGTTGCACTGTCATCGCTCCTACCTCTGCTTTTACCACTCTTATTTATTTATTGTGTCTATTTGTTACTGCAGTGAGAGTTGACAAAGAAATGTCATTGTACTTTGTATGATGACAATAAAGATATATCCTATTCTATTCTTTTTTAAACGTGAGACAGAAGAGTCCCACCCCCCAGCAGCCCCCCCCCTCACCTCGTCGTTCCTCAGAGCATCTTTAGCGAGCTCGCCCCAGTCGTGTTCGATCTCCTCTTCCTCTTTCTTCAGGATGGCGTTCACATACTCTTCATCATCTTCATCAGAGCTGGTCTCTACGTTTCCTTTTCCTCGGGCCAGATCCGGCTCGCTGTCGCTGTCTGAATCCAAACCGGACTCCTCCTCATCGGATCCGCTCGCCACATCACTCCCCTCTTCATCATCATCATCTTCATCATCATCATCATCCTCACTGCCGTCTGTGAAGCTGTCTCCCAGATCAACGTCTCCCTTCTTTGCAGTTTCCGGCTCCTCATCTTCCTCTTCATCGTCTGAAGGAAATAATAATAAAAAGGGTCATCAATCTGCTGACCCTTCAGTATCTGAGGAAGTGGCTTCAAGAATGTCTGATCAGTTCTTTGTGCAGATACTTAAACAACAACAATGTTATTATTGATGCTTAATATGTTGATGCACAAATAAAACATTATACAGAAACAAATTAGGTTGTAATGTTGAATCTGGGCTCGTTTCCTCAGCAGACCCTCATGGACACAACTGAAACATATATTGTATTAACCAGGCTTTCAGTCTAAAGCTCTGGCTTCAATGTTATCGTTTTGTTCTTTTTTGGTTTCCTGCTCGAAATCTATTGAAATACATGCACATTTGCACACGAGCTACCTCTCTTAGTATCTGCACATCTTTCCACTTTTCATATCAATACTGCACATATGTTATTGTATTATTCTGAGTATGTTGTCATAGAATACTGTACATAGTTTTTTGGGATATCCAGATTACATGTAAATTATTTTCTATATCATAACATATAATAGTTAGTTTTTTTTAATCGTTTTTTGGTTGTTTTTCTTACTTTTTCTCTTCTTTACCTGTTTTTTGTATGCACCTTATACACCAAGGCAAATTCCTTGTATGTGTAAAGCTACTTCTTATATATTAAGTTGAATCTGTGCTCGTTTCCTCAGCCTGCATCAAGGCAAGGCAAGTTTATTTATATAGCACCTTTCAACACAATGCAATTCAAAGTGCTTTACAAAAATGGAAGACATTATGAAAATGGCATTTAAAATCAGTCATTAAAAAGAAAAGATAATAAAAGAAACATTAAAAGAAAAAATACATGGATAAAAGTTACAGTGCAGTTTAAGATGTGAATAGTTCAATTAAAAGCAGCGGCAAAAAGAAAAGTCTTCAGCCTGGATTTAAAAGTAGTAAGAGTTGCAGCGGACCTGCAGGTTTCTGGGAGTTTGTTCCAGATATTTGGAGCATAATAACTGAATGCTGCTTCTCCATGTTTAGTTCTGACTCTGGGGACAGAAAGCTGACCAGTCCCTGAAGACCTGAGAGATCTGGATGGTTCATAATTTAGCAGTAGGTCAGACATGTATTTTGGGCCTAAACCATTCAAAGCTTTATAAACCAGCAGCAGTATTTTGAAATCTATTCTTTGACACACAGGAAGCCAGTGTAAGGACTTCAGAACAGGAGTGATTTGATCCACTTTCTTAGTGTTAGTGAGGACTCGAGCAGCGGCGTTTTGAATTAGCTGCAGCTTTCTGATAGATTTTTTAGTGAGACCTGTATTCATCAGTGAATATGAGCCTCAGAGACATCTACTCACCCTCTTCTATGAGTCTGACCCCTCGTTCAGGCGGCGGTCCTTTAGCTGTAACGTCTTTGCTCTCCTTCACTTTTTTCTCCACCTTCACCAGCTTCTCCTTCACTTCTTTCTCCGCCTTCACTTTTTTCTTCTTCTTGCGCTCTGCCACCTTCTTGCTCTTCACACCCTCCTCATCGTCGTCTTCGTCCTCTGAGCTGGAGACGTTGTAGAAGCGCTTCAGGTCCTCGGTGGAGGTTTGGTTGATGGGTCGGCCTCTCTTGTCCACCGTGTATTTCTCCGTGAAGCGCTTGTCGTGAAACATGGACTGGAAACGCTTGTCGATCTTGATCTTGCGTTCTCTCTCGGGCATCTCCCAAAATCTGGGGTCCTTCTGAACCCGGAGGAAACGCTCATCGCCGCTCTTCTTATTGGACGACATGGTGGAAAACTGTACGTGTCACCTGACCAATAGAGAAAGGACATATTGTTGGATTAGTCACATGGACAACAAGCACTACGCTTCTTTCTTATATCATGTGTAGGAGTGTCTTTATTACAGAAGATTGTGTGTATTTAGTGCACCAAACAGAAGACAGACAAGCATGTGTTTAAAAAGCCGTTCAATTAAGAATGATAGCATGTTTTATTACACATATCCTGAAGAGGTTATTGGGAACAAGTATTGATTTTGGTATAGGTAATGGTGAAAGCTAGACAACAGTGATTCAAGAACTGAAAATATATGTATGTATGATTCTATAAACCTTGTTATAACACAAGCTAGCTAGTATTGATTATCCTCTACAGACTGATAATGTACTGAAGATTATTGAGACAATCAATTAACTGTTTAGGTTACTCCAGAAAAACTGACAACGTTTCTTAAACCTATGTTTTGCAGCTTTAAATTGTACTGTTTTTAGAATTTGGTTTGGAAATAATTAAGTGGTCTCGCTTGTCATATGAGTTTTACACACCCCTCTTTTACATTTAACAAAATAAACTATTACTTGAAGACAATAATGGGGGGTATATTCAGATTAACCTAAATAAAAGTAGCAATACCACAGTGTAAACATGGTGTGTTACAGGTGAAATCCTGCATTCAAATATACTTTAAATAACTGAAGTAAGAGTACTTTTTTTGCAGAATGACCCACATCGGCATCATATATAATAGTATGCATGCAACACTAGTAAAGAACACATACATTACTAAAGTGTAGTACTTAAGTAAATGTATTTAAACCACATAAAATGATTAAAATAGTCATTGGGTATTACTGAAGCTGTGACTGGATCACTAAGTGAGCATGTAATGACCAACAGAAACCCAGTCTTTTCCCTGTGAGAAATATAGAGCAGTTATGACTTCTGCTATCTAAAAATGAAATGTTAAAACTGAGATAAATGTCAGAAATCCTCCGCTGTGGTTCGGTTTCAGTCAACATGTAAACAATAGGTCCGAAACACTGAATATGAACAGTAACGGCGGGAAAACCAGACAGCAGCTGACAAATACACACAACACTGAGCATGTATATGAAAAAATATAATGAGAAATGTGTTTGAAACATCGTTTAAAAATAACAATAATCATAAAACTGTAGCCATACCTCTCTGGTCTTCCACTACACGTGTTTTCCCAGCATGCACCTCTTCCGTGACCTTTCAATGGTCCCGCCCCTTTCTTAGTAAGGAAAGCGAAGTGGGACAAAAGAGGGAAAACGCGCACGGAGAAATCTTATGGTTAAACACTTTAAAAGCTAAAAGAAATAACAGAAAATAAATCTCTAGACATTTTACGTTGTGTCATTCAATTAGGAAAATATGTATTATATTTTCTTGTTCCAGCTTTTCCTATATAATGATGTTTGATTCATGTAAATATAATTTAAAATACAGAACTTGGTGTTCTTGGAAACTGTAAACTTTTTCACAATTTTCTGCCATTTGATGGACAAAGGAATCACTCAAAAACATATAGTTGTAGTATATAGTAGTGTATATATACATATCAAGTGCTTAACAACGCCATATGTACTCACATTTTACCTACATTAAGATTCATACATTTAGTATACATACAGCATACATGTTAGTCAATTTCTTTAGTCCACTTCCTGTCAGTGAATCCAGTTCCATATTTTCCATTGAGCCCACAGGAATCCAGCTCCACATTTTCCGTCCTTCTCTCCTGAGGTCACGGTGTGGAGGACAGCAGGAAGTCAGCTCAGTTGTTGTACAATGCTCTGATGTTCATAGTATTTCTGCTTTAATTCACGCTTTTAACCGGCACCATGAGCACCGGAGTGTGCCTCAGACTCCTCCAGACAGCCGGCTCTCCTTCCGCTGCCTCCTGCCGCAGATGGAGCCTGATCTCCGGCTGCAGAGGGATGTCTTCTGCGGGCAGAGGCTCCATGAATGTGTTCAACAGGGAGATGAAGAGGAGGCAGAAGAACTGGGCAGCTTCTCTGCAGGAAGGAAACCAGTACGACTATCTGAGGGACGAGGTAGGAGCCACATAAATATTAAAAAGTGCATATTGTTAGCTGTAATTGGCCCTTTATAGTGTATATGTGACAGATATAAGATGGGTTGTTGTCGCATTACATTTTTGAATTTTTATATTACATTTATTTTCGATTTATTTAATTTGTATTTTACAATATGTGTTACAAAACCTTTTTATAATCAGAAAAGAGCCAAAGACAGCTTAATGTTACCTAAGAAGCATGCATACAATTTACAAAATACACATCTGTAACAGTTTTAAAGATATGCATATATTGTACTTTTTAGTTCTGTTTTATTGACTATTTTGAGATGATTATATTCTATGTTTACGTTTGTTTATTTCCTAATATATTTCATTGTCACACTGTGTGCAATCATGCCTTGTTTACATGCTGCTGTGACGACAACAATTCTCAAATTGGGATCAATAAAGTATATCATATATTATATTTATACTGCATTTACGTGCTTTTAGTAGGTACAAAGTTGGTAAAAGTCACTGTCTTGGTGTCTTCTCCACTAGGATGCTTCTTAGAGGGACATATAGTGACTGAATCTGACAGCCTTGGTTGCAAGATACTAACTAGATAGAAATGAATGAATACTCAGGAATAGATTTTTCCTATGTTGTACCCGTGACCCTTTGATCCCTTGTAAACAAAGTAAGTAAGTAAATATGTCAAACATGCATTCATTTGTAAAATATACATGTAATTATTATAGGAATTTAAAAAAAATTCCCACCCAACTTAGATCCCAATGTGTACAAACTGTATCATCTTTCTTATCAAACACAACATTTCAATAAAGTGATCTATTGCATATACAGTGCTTTTATATATGTATTTAATAGAGGTTTTTATGGACTAAAGGAGTCCTTGCTAATGTTGGGAAATCTTGAGAAAAATACAAATCTGCAAGAAACATTTGAATGACTGACTGTTTCAAGTTTATTTATATGTTATAAATATGATTACATAGTATTTCATTTCAGCGACAAGGCAATATAAAGCACTTTACATTAACCATCAAATGAGTTAAAATGCAAAGAAACTCATTATAAAAGCACATTTAAATATGATAAGAAGCTGTCATTAAATACAAATTGAATCAGTGACTCTTTTGCCCTTTCTTCCTGCAGATTGGCAGTCGAGTGGCTGATCGAGTGTACGACATTGCGAGGTGGGTTTATTCTGAGACAGATGATTTTTTATCAAACACACACTTCCTACTGTAAGAAATTAAAATCAATATATTACGTGAATATTAAATAAACACACCGTTTTATTTTGAAAAGCTTTATTTTGAAGGAAACCCCGTTTTAATGTTTACATTACGTCACTTCCGGGTTCACGTTATCTTTGTTTTCAGCCGGTAGAATGTACCAAATAAAAAGTCAAGAATGAGAATATGAGGAGAAAAGGCTAGTGGAGTTATACAGCAATCACACAACGTCTAAATCCTCTGATTTGATGCGAAATTAATCCAGAGGAACGAAGCCGGGAGGAAGACCCGCCCATCGTCGAAGCAGCCAATGAGAAGAGGAGAAAGGAATCAGATATACACACGGTGCACGCGGATTCTCGCTCTCTTCACCTCTATGTACACAGCTGTGTTTACTACCTGTTTGTTCCAATACAACGATATTTTATTAAATTCAGGGTTCTTACGGTCATTACAAACCTGGAAAAGTCATGGAAATTCAAAATGCAAATTCCAGGCCCTGGAAAAGTTATGGAAAACAATATTTTTCCCAAAGTTTTGGAAAAGTCATGGAAATGTAACTAAAGTTGCATCAAATATAATTTATATTTTAGCTAATCGCCGAAATAGTAATACTATAATGATAATAAATACTGTATCGTATAGTAATGAAACGTAAAATGCCATTTAACTGACGCGGTATTTTGCTGGTGAGAGATTTTAGTGCTTTAGCGTGTAGAAGCTAGTAAGCCTACTATTTGATTTGTTTTAGCACAACATGTTTCATATGCAGACCTTATTTTCCTGTTCCATGTTAAAATAAACCATTTTCAGTGGTACCGCTGAAAAAGAGTAATTCTTTGGTCATGGAAAATTAGGTAAAGGTCATGGAAAAGTCATTGAAAATCATTGGTGAAAAAGTGTATGAACCCTGTAAATTACTCTTTTGATCTTTTCGAGACTCCGTTCGTCTCCTTTTTAACTCTCTCCTGGGCCCTTTCTCATGTCTTCAAATGTTCCTCCTCGACTCCCCTCCTCGACTCCTATCCTCGAGACTTAGTCCCGCCCACAGGAGATGCGAGCGGAGGAGCCGAGGAGGGGAACCGAGGAGAGAGGAGGGGAAGCAGCAGGTGGTTAGAGAAATGAGAACTCCTCTCCTCTGAGCGGTCATTTTAAAGAGACGTCCATTAATTATGACAGGAGGCACAGCAGCCCTCTGTCTGATGGACAGATGTGTTCATGACGACTTATATATTTACTTTTAATTCATTCACAGTGCGGTATAATGAGACAATAACAGGCTACAGATGCGGACACACACACACACACACACACACACACACACACACATATATGTATATATTTATATAAATATATACAATTTCAGAATCAAACAGAGCACTCTCATAATAACGTAACACTATCAGAGACTGGATATATCCCCCCCACCCCCTCTCTGGTCGCTACAATTAGGGAAATAAATGACGGGCCAAAAGTTTTATTTACAAGTATTAAAAGTAAGCAGAGGACACCAAACCAACTGAGACCTGTCTGTCCGCTGCATCTACGCACACACTGTACCACACACACCTACACCACACACACGCACCTACAGCTCCTAAAGCATATAATCAGGCTACAGCCGTTGTGTATTTTATTATGTGAAGCACTAAATGGTTTTAGAAAAATATCGACTTTGTTTGTAGATATCTACTAAACTAAAGCAAATAAAGAGAGTAGGCCTGTTATACTGAGTGATATGATATATATTATACACACTGCTCTGCTTTCTGCACGGACCTCACAGCTGTTCTCACTGTAAACATCGCGTCGCGATGAAAGCAGTTAATAAAATAATATCCAGGGGATGCATGCAGAGCTGTCATTGGCTGAGATAAGTCACGACTCTTTGAAACATCTCTGTTCCCGGAAATGCATCCACGGAGGAGCCGTGGAGGACCCATCAGTGTATCCTCGGTTATAGCTCCTCCAGAGAGCCTCCTCGACGCTCGATGCTCGGTCCTCGATGTGCATTTCGAGAAATGAGATGTCCTTCAACATGGCGCGCTAAAATTCATTTCCGGGTCACTACCGGAGGAGTCGAGGAGGAACATTTGAAGACATGAGAAAGGGCCCTGGACTTGGAAATAAAGAACAGATCATCACGACACAGGTTTTCTTTCCTCTCTCTCTTCTCAAACGTTGTCCCCTCTGTCTCCTCTCAGGACGTTTCCTCTGGCTCTGGACATCGGCGGTGGAAAAAGTCACATTGCAGAACATCTAAACAAGGTACGGTGTGCACATGTTGGTCATAACGTGTTATTCAAAATGCTCTCAGTGTCAAAAATATTGTCTTTATTTGAGTTAAATACTTTCAGCCTCAACTGACTTCTTGTCTTTTTTCGCTTGTTGTCGTTTCAGGAGTTTGTGGAGCGTTTGTTCCTGACAGACATCTCAGAGAAAGCTCTGGTGAGGGTTCAAAGAAATCATCTGATAATCTGGTCGTTCTTGAAGTCGCTGAGAAATTAGAAATAATAAAAACCGTAGTTAAAAGGGTTCATTTGTGAGAATTAAGCATGGATAAAAATGGGTAGTAGATGCACAAAATGCAAATATGAGCACAATATGTCCTCCTTAAGTTAAAACATGAGTGAACCCTGGTGAATATGATCACTTAGCATCAGTTATGGACTTAAAACAGTCATTTACTAATGGGGGCAGATGTTGTTTGTACTGATACATGATGCTGATCTAAATGTGTTTTATGTCTCTTCAGAAACAGAGACGACAGACTGAGATCCCGACTCATCACGTTCTCGCTGACGAGGAGTTTCTGCCCTTTAAAGAGAACACCTTCGACCTGGTGTTGAGCAGCCTGAGGTGAGCAATACATGACTTTAATAGTTATCATTAATGTTTTATATGTTGGTTCAGGGTTTTCACACATTTAAGGAACATACGTTGTCTTTCATTTTACTATATACAAGATTCAAAGGTTTTATGGTCATATGCACAAAGCTACAGTGTAGAAATGGCAATGACATTATTCTGACCCGAGCTCTTCCAACATATTTAATACAATACAAAAATACAAAATACAAATAATAAGTAGTCCAAAAAGTATATATACATGTCAATAGAATATGGGATATGTACAAGAACAGAATATGAAATTAAATAATATAAATTAAAGGTGGGGTATGTAATTCACTTCAGAAACACTTTTTGTTATATTCCATGGAATGCTCTTAACATCCCGATAGCAATGAATACATGAAATGCTTTGACAATAAATACATAAAGAAATGTCATCTGTGGAAGCCGTGGCGCTGTAAAAAGCACGACCAATCATCTGAGCCGGCCCGGCTAAAATAACTGGATGGCCTACCTGCCTGTCAGCCTTCCATCGGGGCACAAACTTATCTCGTGCCCTCATTGGTCATGTGCGCGTTCATGTGTGTTGGAGGAGGGGCTCTGTTAGGAAGTCTGAAGGAAGGGACAGATTTTTTCCGGGTGTGTATTTTCAAATTCTAGCGCACTCGAGCTGGTTTCTCCAAAATTACATACCCCACCTTTAAGACAAAATTATATACGGTTAATTACAAGTCAAATTGTCCACTTTATATTAATCCTGTGTTTTTTTCTATTGAGATTTTTTTCAAATTGTGCAAATTAAACATACAAAACTGTACCTTAAACCTAATGGTGATCCTAGCTGTTGTTCCTATTGTCTGAAAGACCACAGTCCCTTCACTGTACCTAAAATAACACAAAAACAGATGCTGTAAAATGTATTATCTTTTCAATTTGCACACGGCATCTATTGCACGTCTGTCCGTCCTGGGAGAGGGATCCCTCCTCTGTTGCTCTCCCTGAGGTTTCTCCCATGTTCCCCTTTAAACTGTGGGTTTTCTCTGGAAGGTCTTCCTTGTACGATGTGAGGGTCTAAGGACAGAGGGTGTCGTATTGTCATACTGATATTCTGTACAAACTGTGTGAAGTCCACTGAGACAAATGTAACATTTGTGATATTGGGCTATATAAATAAACATTGATTGATTGATTGATCTTCACACCATAGTAATGTAACTCACTTGTCCTCTCTCCTCTTTCAGTCTGCACTGGATCAACGACCTGCCTGGAGCTCTCAGACAGGTGAGGATAAAAATAAGAAACTCTACTTATACAAGTTTTTTATTTACATGTTAAAGGCGAATACATTTTGTTTCGTGTGCGTCTGTTTGCCTTCTGATGATCTTCCACTAGAGGTCGTTGTTTCCACAAGTATAATTAGGCTGAGTCGAACAGGACAACATTTGGTCATCTTTGTTGTTTCTCCTCTTCTTGATCTTAGCTCACTTCAAGAAATGGTGGAAGGCCCTCTGTCTCATTCAAAACAGTTTTAAAAGCCTTTAATCAGATCGCTATTTTATGGTGAAATTCAAAAAATGGAGACGCGTTAAAGCTGTTTTTTTACTTTTTGCCAGCAAAGTGCCTTGGACATTTCTTCTTATATGAATGTTTGTGTCACCTATATGTTTGCACTTGTTTTCACTGTCTTTACACGTGTTTGAACTAACAAGCTCTCACAATCTTTTCTTTCTGATGTTTAATTCAACTGTATGTCAACACCTTTATGAACCTCGTAAGGATGCAATTGTAATTGATTTCCCTTTAATTTACAAGAAGACTCCAGTGTCTGTCTGTTGGCCTTTCTTTTAAACTTTGCTGATGTGTTCAGCCTCAACATGTATATATTTTAGATTTTATTAGATTTATTTCGAATGTGTAAAACAATAATACATAATAATAATAATGAAATGAAACATGAGAATTATTATACTGTACAAACTTAAGCAGTGTCAAATTGATAAACAAAAATATTACTGACTTTAAATAATATATAAACAAATGATCTACTTAATGACACATCCGAAAAGGGGTTTACACTCATGTAATCCCACCCCTCCTCTTCTATATCACTTGGTATATAACAGTGATAAGTCCCGGGTGAATTGGTGAGTTTATAGAGAAATAAGCAGTTTGTATTAACAGTAGCTGTTTCCTCCTCCTCCTCCTCTCAGATCCATCAGGTGCTGAAGCCGGACGGGGTGTTCATCGGGGCGATGGTGGGGGGGGAGACGCTGTTCGAGCTGCGCTGCTCCCTCCAGCTGGGGGAGACGGAGAGGGAGGGAGGGTTCTCCCCCCACGTCTCCCCCTACACCGCCGTCACTGACCTGGGGAACCTGCTGGGTCAGGCCGGATTCACCATGCTCACTGTGGTGAGACACACACACACTCACACACTCACACTCACACTCACACTCACACTCACACTCACACACTTATACACACAAACACACACACACACACACTCACTTATACACACAAACACACACACACACACTCACTCACTTATACACACAAACACACACACACACACACACACATACACACACACACTTATACACACAAACACACTCACACACACTCATATGCATACTCACTCACACACTCACACTCACACACACTCACACTCACACACACACACTCACACTCACACACACTCACACACACACACACACACACACACACACACACACACACACACACACACTTATACACACAAACACACTCATATGCATACTCACTCACACAAACACACCCATACTCATACTCACTCAGACACACACACAATATGAAATTAAAATTCTGCAGTTTAACATAAACCAAAAACAAATACAACAATGGAAAATGTAAATAAAAACAAAACTGAAATGATAAGAAATGGCATTCTTTTTCATTTGACATGTATAAACTTCTATAAAGTCATACATTTAAAAACTAATTCTTCACTTTTCTGTCTTTCTGTTTCAGGACATCGATGAAGTTCAGATTCATTATCCAGGAATCATTGAAGTCATGACCGACCTACAAGGTATGACCTCCTTAATTAATGTGTGACTCCAATTAGTTCATCAAAAACATACAGTGTGAAACTTTAAGGTGTGAAACTCCAGGTTGATATCAACGCTGTTAATGTGTCAAACCTTTTAGTGTCAAGTTTCACACTTATTTCATTTTAGTTTGCTTATGTGGGGCTGCATTTAAGCTCTTTAAGTAGTATTTAAGAGCTCTTTAAACCTTCTACTTTTGAGGAGCTTACAATGTTTGAATATCGTTGACATTGTCATTTGTAGAATTATAGTTGTTTAAATAGCACTTTATTCTAATCTGTCAATTACATTTCATACATCTCTGTTTTTCAGTCGTCTAAACCAGATCTGGCAACTTTTATTCTACATGTTTTGCAATGTTTATGTCTATATTCTGCAGGTATGGGTGAGAGTAACTGTGCGTGGAACAGGCGGTCGATGTTGAACAGAGACTCAATACTAGCAGCAGCAGCTATTTATAAAGGTGAGTGTTAAAGCTGCTACACCTCCCTTTAACAATAAAACACAATATCACAGATTAGTCTCCAGCTTTACAAACGTGTCATTCCTTCAATCATGATTTTATACATGTCTGCACTACAGATATATTCAGATTCAGGATACTCTATTGTCCACTACATTTACATCATATGGAAATGTGTCTTTGGCACCGGCAAATAAAACAACACTCACGACCACACACAGCACAACATACAGTTCACACACAATACTCACAAAAAAAGCATCTTATAGTCTTTTTACTTTAACCCATAGAGCTCCATTGTTGTGCAAAAACTATTAAAACACATACTTTTAGACTAGATTGAACTTTATTGTCAAATGTGCAAAGTACACTGCTTCCAACCAGGAGTGCATATATTAATATATAATATACAATTGACAGAAAATGCAGTAAGTACTACAGCATAATTGATCCTCTAAGGCAGGGCTATTCAATTAGTTTGGAATGGGGCCGGTTGATGAAAATGATCCAAAGCAAGGGGCCGGGAAAACGATGGCTCTTAATATGAGCAATCATATTAAGAGCTTCAGATACAGTAAATACTACAACAGCATAGTGGAGTGCATATATTGTGTTTAATTCAATCAAACATAGCCCCAAGGCCTTTATAGATCTGAATGGCAAGTTCAGAACTCAGTAGGCCTACATGTGAAGCTGATTTAACCATTAACATCATTTCATTTGATTTAGGTGAAATGATCTAATCATTCACGCAGAGATGCAATAAATGACAGGAGCTGTCACTACAGTAGCTAGTAGGTGGGTTCGAAACCCGAGCTCGCCGAAGTTTTCAGGCAATGTCTTCCCATCTATCTCTCAATGTAACATCCTCTCTGGAATAAAGGCAGAAAAATAAATGTAAAAAAAAATCTTTAAAAAAAAAATGTGATTACTTTTTAACATTATACTCAAAGGGCCAGTAAATATCACCCCGGGGCCGGATTAAGTTCTAAGATGTGATAAATGTTAGCTGCACAGTGTAATTTAAGCATTATATATAATATTGGGAGGGATGAACCCCTCTTTAATGGTCTCACATGCAGAGAGCACACAGTGACATGTGTTCTCTGCTTTTAACCCATCCTAGTACCAGGAGTCTAGTACTAGGAGCAGCGCCCGGGGAGCAATGGGAGTGGGGGGGGAAGGGGGATGTCCGGTGCCTTGCTCAAGGGCACCACGGCAGGGCAGGAGGTGAACTGGGACCTCTCCAAGTAGCAGTCCACACTCCATATTTTAGGTCTGGTCGGGGACTTGAACCGGCGACCCTACGGCTCCCAGTCCAAGCCCCTACTGACTGAGCCCCTGCCGGACAAACAGTGTTAGTGTTCAGTCTTTATGAATGGTGCAAATGTGTTGGAGCAGAGAGACACATTTCTGGGATGTGTTAAAAATAGGAAAAATATAATGTTAGGTCTGACTTATTCTTGAAATAAGATACGTATTTTATTCCATATTTAGGTGTTTCTTTATTTCTGACACTTCTGTTCTCTCTGTTCTCATTCCCCCACAGTGTTGACCTTATTAAGCCTGATCTGGTGTTATGGTTCCTCAGTATGCACACTGACACATCAGCCTCACATACTCACATTGCTGCCGCTGTTTGAACTCTGCTGGTTTAACTTCCTCTGTTGAAGTGTTTCTTCTCATGGTTTTTGCTTTGCATCCTCAGATGATATCAGGTTTCAGTCGTGAAGAAGTACTCAGATCTTTGAATAGAAGTGCAACAATACTATGATACATGTAGAAGTCCTGCATTCAAAACGTTATTCAGATACAAGTACAACATAAAAACATCAAAGTAGGAAAAATACTCAACATGCAGAATACCATTTCAGAATAACATAATATGATATTGCTGTATTATAGTTATTAAAGCATTCATGTGTTCATTAGCTTAATTGTTGCAGCAATGTCAATACTGCAAGGTAGATACATTTATAATAACACATTATCATTTACTAGTTGCTTTATATTTTGTCCATGAATCTTATTCAGCACACTTAAGCTGTCAACAAATATAATAAATAGAAGTATAGAGTAGCATACCTTCTGTAGCTTAGCACAAAGCCTTGAAGCAGAAGCAAACTGCTAGCTTAGCTTCATCAAAAGTAAAATAAAACACCAATGTTTTTGCTTCCTTATTGCATGTGTTTATGTGTGTGTGTTTGAATGTGTTTCAGAGATGTACGGCAGCGAGGACGGGTCGGTGCCGGCCACCTTCGAGATCCTCTACATGATCGGCTGGAAGCCTCACGAGTCTCAGGTAACTCAGGTGTTCACAAGGGGAACACAAACACACACAGTGCTCCTAAAGGTTGTTGTTTGTAGTTTATTTGTCTTTATTGTTGGTACATTGCTCTAGGGAGGCACCAGTCTGATAGATAGTATTGGTATCGGTCCGACGCTGGCCAAAATCACTGGCCTTTGTCATTTAGGTATATGCTACATTGCAGTGGCGGCTGGTGGAAAATATTTTAGGTGGGGCTGTGGAAATGGTGATCAAACAATACTAGAGGGGTCCGGGGGGATGCTCCCCCGGTAATTTTTTTTGAGAAAAGACCCCTTAAATCATGACTTCTGGTGATGTTAGAGGGGGGGAGAAGGACAATTTGAGGCTTAAAAATATGAGAAGACTGATCAATACCTCCATAACTTCAGTGTGGTTAGCTATGAATCTTCCAAACACCTTGTCCTGGACATAGTTTCTACAGCATAAACTGTGCAACAGTACAGTAGGCCCACACAAACTGCAGAACACCGGGGCTTTGGGAACACTGATTTAATTCCCATTTAACCTGTTAAGGGGCTTTTTTCCCCCGTTTTTTTTCTCACGAAACTGTGTCTCAGGGCTTCTTAAAATGTAATAAACTATTCATGTGTCCTACTCAGAGGAAACGCATCTAACTGATGATATGAACCATGTTTACCGAAACAATACACAAGTCTCACAAGAAGCGTCTAAATGAGCCCTGAGCGAAAAAATGCTAACGCACTCTAGGTATAAATCAATCGATATACTTATCGGATATGCACAAACAAGCTTACAAACTGAGATTCCACATATTCTAGAAATATAAGTATCATCACTGAGCGATCAGAACTCGCGACAGGGGAAGCAAATACAGACATCACACGACGTAGCTTTAGGTAGCAAAACATGGAGATATGCTCACCTTTTGCAGAATAACAATTCTGATCAAAAACGAGAAAAACGCAGCTGAAGGTTAATCCATAAATTAATCCAATGTGTCTGTCACTTTGAAAAATGATTGATGATCCATAATTCCATTTTTATGTAAAAAAGTGAGTTTTCATTAGCTGCTAAATGGTAGCTTCCAGAGTGTATGACAGCTTCCTGTTTTGTCTCCTTGGATACGAGTCCAAACAACTCACAGACTGCACCGGGCGCTCACGTAGGAGCCCTGTGACCATCAGATTTGACGACGCTGATTGGCTGAAATTATGTTTTCGCGGCATAGTTTACACGTTACAGATAGCAACAGTCAGCTGCTAGTGGCTGCTGCTGCACTGGTTGAGGGCTCCTCTCTCAGCGCCCAGACGAGAGAAGGTACACGGGCAAGGCCAGGCAGGAAACATGTGACTTATCAGTAACTTTAGACATCGTAACACAATTTTAAACGAGATTTTATTGTAGATTATACATTTTACTGATACTAATTATATAATATTTACCTTGTTCATTAAAAATAAAAATAAAAATATATATTTTTTTTTAAATATATATATATATATATATATTTTTTAATATGGGAAGAGGTGGGGCGGCGCCCCTAGCGCCCCTATGGACCGGCCGCCACTGCTACATTGAGTTATATGTAATATTTTACACTGGAATTATAATTGATTTGTTATACTAAATACTCTAAACTTTGGCACATGGTTGCAGTTTAAATGAATTTTTGACTTCTGAAATGGTGCTATAAAAGGAAGCAGAAAAATGCCATTTTAGTTTGGTGTTTTTGTACTACAATTCCCAGAATTCAACTGTCTTTATCAAACTGTATGTGCATCATTATGATATTCCTTCAAATGTTTATTGCCTCGTATATATGCCAAATACTTGTTTTCTGTTTATTCCAAATAACCAAAAATGTACGCACCTTTATCAGAAACAATCCCTGCTGTGTCTTATCCATCAGATGCGTGAGCAGAGGAGATATTTCATCAAGAAAAGTGATTTAATTGTTTACATTTAGTTTCTTTCTTTCTCTTTTTCAGGCCAAACCAGCGAAGCGAGGCTCGGCCAACGTGTCGTTCGCGGATCTGTCAAAGATCGGCCAGCCGTCCAACACCACCAAGTCCTAGAAGCATCTGAGCTAATTAACAACTGCAGAGTGTAAATAATATATTTTATTTAAACAACTATGTTTAGTTGCTAGGGTAGGCGATGTGTTGTACTATAATTGTCTGGATTAAAGAACAGCATTTCCTCTCGCCGGAAAATGTACTTTGAGAAAACCAGAAGCAGTAACGTGTTGATGTTTCAAATACCAGTTTACGTAATGAGGGTAGAGCAGATGGGAGTTCACGCAGGGACAACAATACAAATAAAAGATACCGAATTTTCTTTTTATCTTTGTGTTTTTGGTGCATACATAAAATAAAACAAAAGTCTAAACACGGATAAAAAAAACTATCTTAAGAAAACTATAATAAAATAACAAATATAGCAATATTTACATCGAATATGGTTGAAATATACAGTATGTATACCTGTAGAAATAAAATAGGAATAATACAGTATATCAATAGAGTATCTAAGGAATGCAGTGGGGTAGTGTGAGTACAATATGTGCACATTGTACATATGTGCTACATGGTTAAACTGTACTGAAAAAAACATGTATACAGTATAATAATATTCAATGGTTAGACTAACTGTAGATCTAATTTCAGTCAAATTGAGTGAAAGAGAAATGGTGCAAATCACTTTATTAAATATTTCAGCAGCAGATGTCCTTTCTCACAGTGACAGAAGAAAATGTCGTTTTAAAGGGCCCATGTCATGCTTTTCCGGTTATTACCCGTCCCCTTGTGTGTTATGTAGGTTTTTCTGCATGTAAACGGTCTGCAGAGTCAAAAACCCTCAAAGTACACCCTGTAGCGAGTAAAACTCTAACACAGAAAAGACCTGTCTGTGCTGCCCCAGAACGCCTCGTTAATAATAATAATAGCTTGGATTTATATAGCGCCTTTCATGGGACCCAAGGTCGCTTTAACAAAGAAGAATAGGGCAAAAACAAACATAACAAAACAAAAGGCAGTCAGACAACCAGTCAGACAGACAAAACAACAGATAGATTTAGGGGCCAAAGGCCTTAGTAAACAGATGGGTCTTGAGGGCCCTTTTGAAGGTGTCAAGTGTGGGGATGTTGCGGATCTCCGCAGGGAGAGCGTTCCAGAGGGTGGGGGCTGCCACGCTGAAGGCTCTGTCCCCGAAGGTTCGCAGTTTGGTGCAGGGGGTGGTAAGCAGGCCAGAGTCTGAAGACCGCAGTGGGGCATGTGGGTGGAGGATGTCCGATAGGTACTGGCGTTCGTTGGAGATTTCTCATTTTCCATTGTTTGCTTCCTGGGTTCTGTGACGTGTGAATACCCAAATCAACAACAAATGACCGGATTGGCCCAAATGAACCAATCCGTGGAGCACCTCACACACCAGGATCCCTTGGCTAACTAACAGGGAGTCCATGTGTCCTTTGGTTTCTTGAAAGGCAAATCAATCCAAGTTATTATTATTATTATTATTATTATTATTATTATTATACCCCAATCATTTTTGACCAGCTGCAGAGGGGAGCAAGAATTATGCATGATACCTATTGTAAGGAGTTGCATTAATCAAAATGGCAAGATATTAAAGCGTATATAACTATATCCATGTCATGAAAGGAGGAATACATTTTCAGGATCCCTTGGCCACTTGCAGAGAGCTCCCTAAACGCTGGTAATAGACTGTTGGGATCGCGGAGAAATGCTCTCCGCAGACCCATTCTCACAGCGTTATAAACCTTTTTCTTACTCAATATCAAGCCACACTTATTGATTTTACTTCGGCTGTGAGTGTTTGTGTGTGCTCAGGATGAGTTTCGCTTGTTCTCGCTGTATCGCCGACCCGGAAACCTGTCCGCTCCTCGCAGCAGCGGCGAGCAGCAATGGGCCTCGCAACGTCCCGACCAATCAGAGCACACTGGGCTCACAGGGGGGGGGGGGCAGGAGCTCCAACAAGCCGTTTAGGACAGAGAGTGAATACACATACTATACAGATATGCTGTATGAGAAACCAATGTGATTTTGGAAAGTTGCACAATGTAAATCAATTCTAGTCGACCTCAATAATGGAAATATGATCAGTAGAAATGGCCATGACATGGGACCTTTAAGATCTGATTAGTTCAACCTTTCCCTGTACTGCGCAGAGAAACTCCCCACGGTATAAAACAGCCAATCACTCAAGATCTTTTCGACCCCCAGCCATATTACTCATAACTTCCTCTTAGATTAAAAAGAAGACTAAGTTGTATCTGACACAGCAGAGTTCACCAGCTGCAGAGATGCTGCTTTGTCTCTACTTCCTGTTGCTCGCTGCATGCTTCTCTATCAGCTATACAGGTAAGAATATCTATTTTTAACATGTTTCTATTAAAATATTCATAAATCTGGATGATTCGACATTGAAATGAATAATATAAATCAAGTCAAAGACATGTCAAGTTTTACTCTGTGATATGTTGAAAAAGTGTTTTAGTTCACAATCTTTTGTTTAGTAGCTTAAAGGGGCTCTATTCTGCTTTTTGGGGTTCTCCCTTTCCTGTAGTGTGTTACACAGGTTTGTGTGCATGTAAATGGTCTGCAGAGGCTGAAATCCCTGTGTTCCCTCCAGGGGCCGTTTCTCTGGGAAAGAGCTTTTTGAACATTAAAGCATCACATTACAGTAGACGTACAAAATACAAATGTGACCCTGAAAATGAGCATAATATGAAAAAGAAAAAGAATGAAAACATTTGAGTTAACAGGCTCTTTCGGTAGAATTTAGCACGGAAAATGTAACTTGTTTCTTAGGTTTGCCTGTTTTTTTTTCTAAATATAGAAAAACTATAAATTAAAACCACCATGAGCAAATCAATTGTCCAGCTTGTCAAGGCTGTTGGGTCCATACATGTGTAACTTCTTTCTGCTTTTTGCTTTTCAGCTGTTCCTGAAAAAATAACAGCGCTGCCGGGCATGAAGGCTACACTGCCCTGTCCTCATAAGAAAGGAGATGTAAAATGGAGTTTGTATAAGGATGGTAATGGTAAAACTCTGCCTCTTGTCACTATAGAAAATGGCAAAGTGAACATCATTGACAAGCACTTTGCTTTCAGATCAGATAATTCACTGGTGATGGAAAATGTTACGACCGATCTTGAAAGAATGTATTTGTGTAATAACTACCGGATATATCTGGAAGTAATGAAGGATCTCAACATGGTGGATCCTGAAGCTGGATTTAAACCAGTCACACAGAGAAACAAGGGACAGGGTGTTGACTCAGGACAGGAGGGAACCACTGCAGAACCAGAGAACCAACGACCATCTGACTTTTGGAAAATACGCGTGCGAGTAGCTGATGTGGCTGCTTTGGCTTCTGGGGATCATAACCCTCAGACACTTCTTCAAAAACAGAGAAAAGAGAACCCCCAACGATGACGAAGCTGAACCTGAGCAGATCTACGAGGAGATTCAAGACAGTGAGCATCAGACTGGGAGGGAGTCAAGTACAGATGTGTGAACAGGCCAGCAGCAGGAGGAGGCAGCAGGGAGGAGTGTGTGCATCACCTCACCCAACTTCCACATACAGGAAATGTCAGTGAATAAACCACACTTATTATGACCAGTACTAGTGCTGGTTATATTTCCCACCTGTTTATGAGATAGAGGAACATAGAAGCTGGTCATCACTCATCTCCTGCCGTGTGAAAAACACCCTCAGAAACCGCTGTGTTTTCTAACAAACTTAGAGGGGACTTTTTACAGAAAAATACAACACTCTGCAGAGGGTTTCATTTATTGTGTTGGCAGCTCATTCCTTAAATCAGAAGCTTCAGATTGATTATGATAAGAGGAAATATGAAGGGTATATTTCAAGGTTGTTATGTACATTTGTTATTGGGCTTTTTTCTTATCAACATAAGATTTGCAAGAAGATGTTTTCAACTTTAATTGACTGAATTTAATTGAAAATTGGGCTCATTAGCACATGAATACTGTGTAATATATTTGAACATACATATTTAAGAAGTACAATATAAGACAAGCAGAAGTTTATTATACTTAAAGTGGACCTACCATGCTATATTTGAATAATATATTGTAGGGCCATACCTATATAAAACATGTCTGTGAAGTTTTTTTTTCAAAATACCAAACAGATCATGCATTTTAGCCATGCCTCATTTTGCTCTGTCTTTGCATGAGCTGCAGCTGACCACGCCCCCCTGCAAAGGCGTGGCACGAGTGTCATGTTACCATGCTGTTACCATGCCACGGCAACCTCTCATTCCCCTGATAGGTGGAGAGTTGACCATATAGGAGGAGCTCCCTGTTTCTGACGTCAGAACAATTTCAAATCTGTATCAGTCTTTATCAGATCCGTTGCAGCCCCGTTTTTAGAGATTTGGGTATGGAGGAAAAGAGAGAGGGTTGTGTTTTCTGACACTTGGTGGGTTCCCTGACACACCGGGGACACATATTCATGTATAAAAGACGTACAAAAGTGCATTTGATAGGTCCCCTTTAAGTCATTATACTTTTTTAATTGACTGAGTGAGGGCTGATTAAAAAAAAAATGCACCGTGCAGAGGAACGTGATCCTGGCTGCCTGGAATGCAGTGGAGGACCACGACAAACAGCAGCAGAAGTTCAACCAGCTGTACAGAACGCACTGGGGAAACACCCGGTACTGCCGCACTAAACGGCACAACCTTGTCAATGCTGCTGTGATACAGCGCGTGAAGATGGGCATTCGCTACGCACCAGCACATTAGTGCAATGAACAACAGGCTTATGTACACGCTGGTGAAACTGCTGTGGTTGAAGTCACCACAAGGTTCTCGCACTAGCCCTGAGAAGACCAGTATCTTGAAGGCGTACGAGAGGATCCAGCACCGGGTTTTGGTGGACGATCCCGTCTTGTCTAAAGCAGGCTTTCCGCTGCCAAAGATAAACATTAAGACGGTGCGTGACTTTATCCACGCTCAAGAACGCCTCCTCAACCTGCGTGCGACCAACCAGCCAGCGATGCTCTCAAAGACGACTTCCGTTTCCTCTGCCCACTTGCCTCCAGCGCCACACCAGCCAGCACTCCTCCCTCCACCAGACTACCCGCTGATGCAGTACGTAACGACACCCAGCACGGCAGGAACCCAGTCATTGAAGGGAAGGAGGGACATGATCATGCCTCTCTCACACCCTCAGATATCACTGCCACCTGTGTCACTGCCACGGCCACCAACCCCAGCCCCCAGACCTTTGTCCTCCCCCTCTCCATCCACAGCAACCCGGGCGATTGCTGGCCCTTCCACGAGGCCCATCGTGCCTGCCATTGCTGGACGTCCCATACTGCCTGCCACCAGTACCATCGCCAGACCTGTGCCCTCCCTTTTCCCTGGCCCCATCCTGCCTGCCAGTCAGCCAACCCCAGCCATTGCTGGCCCCTCCTCAATGCCCTTACTGCCTGCCATTCAGGCAACCCCGTCTGCTGATGTGTCTGTCCCCACTACTCTCGATTGCATTCCCTCATCCTGGGCAAGGTCTACAAGCACAAGGGGATGGGGATGGACGAGCCCTCGGGAGTAGGAGCCAAAGTGTCCAGGTTCAAAAGATGCCGTCGTGCACGTGCTGTGGCCAAAAAGTACAGGCAAAAAGTCTTCTGCCCTGTGAAGAGGATGTCTTCATCAAAGGGTCTGGAGAACACAGTCTACAACAGTTACCAACATTTTACAGCTGTTGTTGACGCGTTGGAGCAATGACCTGTTGCTATGTAAATATTGTAAATAGTATTTAAATGTTTTTCAACTTGCTGTGTTATCATTTTTATTTTTCATATTGTTTTATATTTATGTATATTGTAAATATATGCACGTCATTAATGTAAATAGTTGTATGTACATTACATTACATGTTACTTGTTAGACGCTTTTATCCAAAGCGACTTACATGCTCAATACTGTGGGCAATCCCCACAGGAGCAATTTGGGGTGAAGTTTATTTTTCATGTCGACTTTTATATTTGATGTATATTGCAAATAGTTTTCATTCATATGTACGTCATTAATGTAAAAAGTGTAAATACTTGTATGTACATTACATGTTACTTGTTAGACGCTTTTATCCAAAGCGACTTACATACTCAATACTGTGGGGTGAAGTGTCTTGCCCAGGGACACAACGACATGCTGACTGCAGTGGGGTTTGAACCTGAAAAAGTCCTAAAGAATCCAACTGGGTTCAATAGCTGGATCATTCCTGTTCTTCTTCTGCAGTGGAGTGAGATCTCGTTGTTGTTGTTGTTGACTTGCATAACAACAAATGTTAGTTTACAAGAAGTCATTGATACCCTAACATTTGATTCATACCTGCTGATGAAAAATAAATCCTGGGATCTACAAAAGTCAATGTGTTTCATGCATCTGATTTGTATCCACTTGAGCTTTTTTACCTGTGTTTACCTTAGTTTATGCTGTTGCCATCATTTATACTGAATCAATTTAATATTTTGCCAGAAAGGTCAAACTTTAGGAATACAGAGCAGTTCTTATCATGCCATAACCATAGCCGTGGAGGCAGTGCAAACTAAAATATAATATTGGTGACAAAAAACACACAGAGCCATCAGTGCAATTGTTACATTCTAATTTCTCTGATATTGTTGGCGTTAATTATCTATTTATTATATGTTAATACTTTTATGTACATAATTGTATTTATAATTGTACATCATTTAAAGGTGGGGTAGGTAATTTTGGAGAAACCAGCTCGAGATCGCTAGAATTTGAAAATGCACAGCCGGAGAAAATCTGCCACTTCCTTATAGAGCCCCTCCTCCAACACACACGAACGCACACATGACCAATGACGGCACGAGATAAGTTTGTGCACAGATGGAAGGCTGACAGGCAGGTAGGCCATCCAGTTATTTTAGCCGGGCTGGCTAAAATGATTGGTCGTGCTTTTTACAGTATTACGGCTTCCACAGATGACATTTTTTATGGATTTTTTGTCAAAGCACTTAAGATATTCATTGCTTTCGGGATGTTAAGAGCATTCCATGGAATATAACAAAAAGTGTATCTCGAGCCGGTTTCTCAAACTTACCTACCCCACCTTTAACTGTAACACTATGGTGTTTTCAATTGAATGCACTTTATACAATAAAGTGGTCAGTGCTACAGTAACAGTGTGTCGTGAAATATGAATTATTAAATGCAATAATGGGGATTAATTTGTTTATCTAAATATAGGGAAAAAGGTAGTGCCACATTACTTGCACAGTACACAATGTTCAGATGACTTTGCCCAAAAGCAAACATTTAAGTTGCTTGAGTCAGACTCAGAAATATTAAACCACTTTTAAAATCAGACTCAAGTCATAAGGAAATCCATAAAGATATCTCACTGAAGAAAAGACACATTTGAATGAAATAAGCTTTATTTCAATGAGACTATATAACTACAGCTCTCAGGACATCAGGAGGAGGAAACAGCTAGCTTGGCTCTCATAGTTTTCCCACACTCTTAAAACCACTATGGTTTTTCTCCTTTGTGAACACGAAGATGTGATTTGAGATGACCTGATCTAGTGAACGTTTTCCCACACTCTTCACACCAGTACGGTTTTTCTCCTGTGTGAATACGGTGATGTATTTTGAGATCACCTGATGTAGTGAACGTTTTCCCACACTCTTCACACCAGTACGGTTTTTCTCCCGTGTGACTACGGTGATGTATTTTGAGATTACTTGATGTGGTGAAAGTTGTCCCACAATCTTCACAGCTGTACGGTTTTTCTCCAGTATGAATACGTTGATGTATTTTGAGATGACCTGATGTAGTGAAAGTTGTCCCACACTCTTCACAGCTGTACGTTTTTTCTCCCGTGTGAATACGGTGATGTATTTTGAGATGACCTGATGTAGTGAAAGTTGTCCCACACTCTTCACAGCTGTACGTTTTTTCTCCAGTATGAATACGTTGATGTATTTTGAGATGACCTGATGTAGTGAAAGTTGTCCCACACTCTTCACAGCTGTACGGTTTTTCTCCCGTGTGAATACGGTGATGTATTTTGAGAGAACCTGATGCAGTGAAAGTTGTCCCACACTCTTCACAGCTGTACGGTTTTTCTCCCGTGTGAATACGTTGATGTATTTTGAGAGCATCTGATCTAGTGAAAGTTGTCCCACACTCTTCACAGCTGTACGGTTTTTCTCCAGTATGAATACGCAGGTGGCGCTTTAAATGTACAGATGTTGTAAACGATTTGTCACATTGCTGACAGCTGTGACGTCTCTCTCTTGCTTTCGGTTTCTAGAACAGACGGACAGAGAAAGAGAGAAAGTCAATCTAAAAAGCATGAATACACAAGTTAACACAATAAAAACTCACTTAGTATAAACCTTGAGTTAACAAAATACTACTTATCAACTGTTTGGGTTTATTATATTTGTATTATATTTGATACAGCAACATTCTAACCACAGTATATACCAGAGGTGGGGGACTCGAGTCACATGACTTGACTTGCATATTTTTTGACTTGAGACTTGCTTGACTAACATTGATAAAAAGACTCGACTTGACTTGTGTAGGGGTGTAGAGTTATTTGTTCAAGCACCGGATTGGCAAAACAGGAGAGTCTGTGAACCAGTCTTCCTCTCACAAACCTGCGCAACAACGTGGACCAGGGCTGAGAGGGCGTCCACCCCGAGAGCGGGGGGGGGGGGGGGGGGGGGGGGGGGGGGGGGGGGGGGGGTGGGGGGGTGGGGGTATAGATACTATCTCTTTACGTTAGTGATGGGAATTCCGGCTCTTTTTAGTGAGTCATTTTACCACAGTTTATCACGAAGCCTCAGTTCACGCGCGAGCTCCGCGCTCATCGCGTCCAAATCGCTCACGTTCCGTGTTGTCCTGTGGCAGGCACCGCCGATGTCGGGGAAACGATCTTCAATACTCCGAAAATAATCCCACCAGACTCCTTTGCCCCTCCAACAGAGGGATGTCCTTGTCCTTTTTCCCTATAGTCATTTTAAGCGATAGAAACTCTTGATCTTCTCTCGAATTATTTATTTTTTCGGACGCCCTCTGCTCGAGTTCAGGGCGTTCCGAGCTGAATAATTGCGTCAAATGACAGCAAACGCCCCCCCCCCTGGCGGAAATGCTTACTACAATCTACAATGCCTGAATCTCTCTTTGAAGTACCCGGATTTGATCTGTGGTGCCGATCATACTCCGAAAATAATCAGACTCCTTTGCATACAGACTAAGTGCTCACAGCCTGGCCATAGAAACAGGTACAGAGACAGAGAGACAGACAGGTGAGAGACAGAGGGAGACAGGTGAGAGACAGAGAGAGAGAGAGAGAGACTGAGGGAGACAGGTGAGAGACAGAGAGAGAGAGAGACTGAGGGAGACAGGTGAGAGACAGAGAGAGAGAGAGACTGAGGGAGACAGGTGAGAGAGAGAGAGAGAGAGAGAGAGGGACAGAGAGAGGAGAGAGAGAGAGAGGAGAGAGGGAGAGAGACAGAGAGAGAGACACAGAGAGACACAGCCTGGCCATAGAAACAGGCAGGTACAAGAAAACATGGCTGCCAAAAGAGGAGCGATCATGCCAACAGTGAGGAGGAACTGCTGTGGAGACAGAGCAGCACTTCCTCACACAATGCCCAACTTTTGAAGCTATACGGAAACAATTCTTCCCAAAACTCAACCATAAGCATCCTCAAATATTTAAAAATGAAAATGAAAAACAAAAAATACTCCTGGGGGAATATAAAGAGAGCTGCATTGTTGCAGGACAGTTTGTCTCTGCCTGCCACAGTTTCAGGGAATCGGACTGACCTGATACACCAGCTCTGACATCTTATATGTATGTATGTATATATATCATATTTTATTTTGTATTAATGTATTATATGAATTAAATAAATCTGTATTCCTTGTAAAAAACAAAAAAAACATGTTCTTAGCAGTTTGTTTATAACTCAGGGTTCTTACACCTTTTCCAAAGTCAAATCCAAGCACTTTTCAAGCTTTTCAAGCATCTTACAGCTGCTGTAAATTAAATATGTATATACTCATACCAGAGTTCCCGTTAGCCGGTAATTACCGGACTATGACCGGTAAAATATGCTGAAGACCGGCAAATCTAAATCTCTCCGGTCAAAATGTCCGGTCAAAATAATTTCCCCTTTAGCGCAATACCGCTTCAGTTGCGCCACTTATGTGACAGACAAGAAGAGTATGTAACAGACAAGAATAGTCAATTCTAATGTCTAACACTTAATGTGGAGAAAGAGATGTCCTGTATGGTTTGATTGTGCGTTGATCTATTGGTAATGCCTCTGGGTTCCGGTGGGCATGTAAACAAATGCATAATGCTGCTGCGCTATACTTTGTGGCCTCACCCGGTTGCATAGCGACGCTTATTGTTTAGGTGTCTTTTAATAAGGAGGTAGTCATATTTTATAAATAATAATAAATATTTTATAAATAAAACCAGATTTTATATCATTAGCTAGAACTAGCTAGATCTGATCGATATGGACATAAACGCGAGTGAAGTCTAATCTGACGGGAGAGAGAGATCAGCTGCTGCTGACGAGTCGACACGCAGCTCTGCATGATCACCTGCAGCGGTGAGCGGAACAAAATACACACTTCAGGTTAGAATATCACACGTAGCTATTTTAATTACCTCTCAAACTACCTAAACTAGTTATAGATATGTTTAGTTTTACTGTCGGGTCACTCATTACTGATCCGCGAGCTGCATGATACTGGCGGGCTGTCAGGAGAGGGAGAGAGCGCTCCGTTTATTATTCCCGTGTTATTGTAAATTACTGTACACTTTTGAATAATGTAGTTAATCTACTATAATTAGTTTGTTTAATATCGAATCATATCAATTTGTGTTAAAGCTCAATAAATAACCTTTGACCGGCACTTTTCTACTTTTGTCCGGAAGATTTCAACTTTAACGGACATTTTGACCGGCGAAAAAATATTCTAACGGGAACTCTGACTCATACTCAAATGATTATTTCCCTACCTCACATTAAATCAGATGTTCTTTATGCTATAAACAACCAAATGTGTGTTTCATAATAGCATTCAACATGAGGATGAAAAATGAAAGAAAAGAAAACTAAGTTTAATATTTCAAAATGAGTGACCCATCTGTACGTAGACTGGGCATCCCATATAACCTGGCTGAGCCAATATAAAGAAATCAGCCAAATACTATTTTTTAGGTACTTTTAGGTTGGCAGTAAACATAAGTCGGAGGTAAATGGTGTACTTTTACTCCAATACATGTATTTAATACCTTTAGTTACTTTACAGATGTGGATGAATGATGTGAAATATAATCAAGTGTTAAATCAAACTTTAGTTCCACCTGGAGTAAATTCACAAGCTACCCTGCAGTATACAAAGTCATTCAAACTAGCTGCACATTTACCAGCTTTGATAACACTTTAATGATCAATCATTATAAAACATATCATATATAATTATTAGGGATGCTCCGATCGCCCATTTTGGGGCCGATCGCCGGAATCAGTATCGTCCGATACCAATCGCCGATCCGATCGAGTGGGCGGGGCCTATGGGGATCTTCCATTCAGTGTTGCCAACTTGGGGACTTTCCAAACCCTCCGGCTTCTTTTTTTTGTCAAAAGCGACTAGCGAGAAATTCAGCTACATTTTCTGGTGTTATTGGAGACTTTCTGGTGTTTGGAGAATCTGACGTGATAGCATGTAATTGTTACGCAGTTACTTTCCTCAACGAGCAGCGGGTGCTGAGCCCCTCCGCCGTCTCAAAGCACTCACAGGCAGCCTCGCGCGGCAGCTGCACTCGAGCAGAGCGGTGGCAAAGTGACCCAAAAGAGACACACTCCGCGTCCAGACTATATTGATTGTGCATGCGCAAAGCCATCGCTGATCTCGCCCTGGCTTGCAGTGGGTGTTTCTCAATCGCGAGTAAAGCTGCTTCAGAGCCACTATTTCAAGCATACTACGTCATCGAGTGCCGCCGAAGTACTGTTCTAATCTCCAGCATACTTGGAAATCTACCGAACCCGGCGAACTCCGTTTGGAGAAATATCGAGGCTGCACATGAGTAGACTCCGCGGTCTTAACATCCCCACAATGCTTTGCGCACGGACCAATTTCCCCAAATCTGTGGCGGAAAATGTAAGGCGGGGCCTCTCATATGACGCACACCTGCACACTTGCTTGCGTGTTCCACTCTTCGTTTTCCGAATGCCAGGAAGTATTCTTGCCTCGCTTCTGAAGCAAGACGCTCGGCAGACATGTGCTACCAAGCAAGCGTACTCGCGATTGAGAAACACCCAGTGTGTCTCTTTTGGGTCACTTTGCCAGTCCCAAGCCCAGATAAAGACGGAAGGTAGCAATTCCATCCCACATAACAATTTTTTTTATTAAATATGACTAATTCTTTAACAATACTGGACAACATGTATGTATGTAATGTTGGTCTCTACAAAGCATTAAAGTCATCAAGTGATGGACACACATAAACATTAAAAAAAAAAAAGAATCAACAGAAGGAAGTTCATTTGTAGTTCTAAACACATTAAGGGTGTTTTTTTCTTCACTTTTTGTATATAAAATATGCAAATTAGGCGATGACGTCATTTAGCGACTTCTAGCTACTTCTAGCTACTTTTAGGACAAAATACTGCCAGACTAGTGAAGCCATTTTGGCGAGCTTGTTTTACCGCGCACAGAGAAAAGTGTCATGTATTTTACATGCAACGTTAGCCTAATCTAAAATGCTCTACTACGGCGTACCTTTCGTGGGGTGTGTGGCTCGTCAGCGCAGACTCTCGCATCGTTATGTTTGCACACTTTGCAGGAGGCTACTCTTGGGCTTGACCCTCGTCTTAGCCATGGCTTGTATTTGTCTTCTGCTAGCCAACGCTCGTTGAAATGGCAACCTCCTGGCATACTTTCATCTATCACTCATCAGAATGCCCAGGTCACACAAGTAACAAAAACACTTGCCGGTCACGCGCATAGCGCGGGAAGGCCGGAGCGGAGCTGTTTTATGTAAAAGCGAAGCAATTAAGCGCGCTCAGACTTCATTTTCTTTTAATCTAAAAATCGAAGTAAAGCATTTACAATTTCAATCACTTTATCCCAAATTCAAGCACCATTCCCAAAATTCAAGCACTTTTCAAACCTTGAAAACACCTCGTACAATTTCAAGCATTTTCAAGGATTTCCAGCACCCGTACGAACCCTGATAACTGTTTATTTGTGTGTATTTTTGTATAAATGTTGCAACTATACAGAGCTTTGGCAATACTGTATGTAACTATGGTCATGCTAATATAGCTATTATTGAATTTAATTGACTGCCCTTTGTACATGTAGCTGTGGCTGACAACAAATAATGTTATTATGAATACATGTGCCTCCAAGTCCTGCATGAACTGTGCATAGACTGTATTTTAACATTGGTCATATGGTAGTATTGGAGAACCAACTATTTTTCAGGTGGTACTTGGTGTAAAAAGGTTGAGAACCACTGGCCTAGAGAATTTGGGTGTATTTTACTGTTTGTTGTTTACGTGCCTCCCAGCGGCCGGCTCCATCGCTGACTGTGTTCACGAGCTGCAACTCAGCCACCCCGATGCACCGGCAATAGTGCTCGGGGACATGAAGCAATGTCGCCTGGAGACTGTGTTACCTGGGTTCCAGCAGTATGTTAGGGATCACAGCAGGAAAGACAATATCCTGGACAAATGCTTTGTTAATGATAAAGTAGCCTATGTGTCTAAATACAGACCACCAATACTGAACTCTGATCATAATGTTGTGAATATGATACCAGTGTATAAGACCAAACTGAAGGGAAGTCAACCAGAAAAGAAAGTAATAAGGACATGGACAAATTAAAGTAGGGAACAGTTGAAAGCCTGTTTTGATTGGACAGATTGGGACATTTTTCAGGAAGGTTCACTAGATGAAATAACTACTATACTAATTGTCTATTACCATCTGGCCGGGGACAACAGCTGGAAATTAGCCATGTCGGCTAAAGCTGCTCCATTTACTGTTTTTGTGACAGTTCATCGATGGGGACTGTCCACGACACTATTAATAAATAAACTAAAAACTAAACTAAACTAAAAAACTACTGTTACCAAAGACTATATTAACTTCTGTGTTCCCACTAAAGAAATACAAATCTATCCAAGTAATAAATCATATGTGACTAAGGACATTAAAGGGCCCATGTCATGGCCATTTCCACTGATCATAATTCCATTGTTGAGGTCTACTAGAATAGATTTATATTGTGCAATTTTCCCAAACTCACATTGGTTTCTCATACAGCATCTCTGTAAACTACGTGTATTCACTGAATTTCACTCTCTGCCTTTAACGGCTCGTTGTAGCTCCAATAGCTCCAGCCCCCACCCTCCCTGTGAGCACAGTGTGCTCTGATTGGTCGGGACGTTGTGCCGTGGAGGTGTCGTTTCCTTGTTAGCGATACACAGCCAAACTCATCCTGAGCACACACAAAGTCACAGCCGAAGTAAAAACAATAAGTGTGGCTTGATATTGAGTAAGAAAAAGGTTGATAAACGCTGTGAGAATGGGTCTGCAGAGAGAATTTCTCATGTATTGTGTTTGTCTTATTTGTCTATGTTGATGTTACACATGGAGCTGCTGTGATGCAAGTCACATTTCAGACTTGATTTGACAATTAAAGTATTATCGTATCGTATACAACAACGTTCTAACCTATATCTAACCATATTGTACATTCATATTGTATATTTCCAACAAGTTGTGATCTTTCATTTGGGGATAACAGTGTTAGGCATTTGTGAGGTGCAACAACATTAACATGAACCTTTCTGTTGGTCGCTTGTTAGCAGACCCTCCACGCGATAGCAGAGCGAACAGGTACAGCAAGCGAGGGATCATTGTCCACTAGTAAATCGATTGTAGATGGCGTCGTGCTCGCGGACGGATACAAACAAAATAATAATGAATGGGTCGCGAAATATACTTTGGTGGCCGTTAAACCTGGGCGGCCCAAGTAAAGTCTATGTGTGGGAAACCCTGGACTTGAATTTTGAATTGAGCCGTCCCTAATAGATACTATCTCTTTACGCATTAGTGATGGGAATTCCGGCTCTTTTTAGTGAGTCGGATCATTTGGCTCGGCTCACTAAGAAGAGCCGGCTCTTTCGGCTCCCAAACGGCTCTTCATGTTACCACAGTTTACCAGAGCCTCAGTTTCGCCAGTTCACGCGCGTGCTCCACTAGCACCCCCCGTCAAGGCTCGCCGGCAGTACACTTTCCGTCACAGGAACACGCTTTGCTGGCGGCGAAAAGAATCCCACCAGACTCCTTTGCCCCTCCAACAGAGGGATGTCCTTGTCCTTTTCGTCATTTCAAGCAATAAAAACTCTTTTGGACGCCCTCGGCTCGAGTTCAGGGCGTTCCGAGCTGAATAAGGGCGTCAAATGACGGCAAGACGCCCGCCTGGCGGAAACGCTGGAATTAGGAATTATTGTGATGAAGTGCACACTGACCTGAGCTCCAGGGGTCTCCTTGTTCTCCTCCATGCTGCTCTCCTTCTCCGGCTGGGTCTCTGAAATAATCAACACAACTACAGCTGACACAAAACAACACAACTCAATACAACCGACAGACACAACAAAACTAATCTACAGCTACTTCGTAGGTTCATAGCAGAGGTGAGAAGTAACTAAGTACATTTACTCAAGTACTGTACTTAAGTACTATTTAGAGGTACTTTTACTTTACTTGAGTATTTCCATTTAATGCTACTTTGTCTGCGACAATAGGAGACAGTAATAAAGCTGCTTCACTGAAGAGGAGAAACTCACAGCTCCAGGACTCTGTCAGTCAGGAGGAGACTAGAAACAACAAGTCAATAAACTGAGGATTCATCCTGTAACATAAAGGAGTTACCTAACAGAAACCAGTATGCTAACGGTAATAAAGAAGAGTTACCGTACTAAAACAATATGCTGAAGGTAAAAAGGGAGCGTTTACTCAAACTAAACGGTATGCATATAACTTATGAGTATACTGTGGGATAAATAATGTTAGAGAAAGTAATTAAGGTATTTCCTCCACCTGAATGAGAATAAAAGACACACACTTATATTGCTTATATTTAGTGTTTTATCACATTATGTGCAGTGCCTTGTCTTATATATGCTGCTGTGACGTAAACATGTTCCAAATTGATCAATTTAGTCAATGTGATGCTAAGCAGAGGAGAAAATGATAGAAAGGTCAGATAGTTATTAACGTTACATGCAAATGACTTTAACCATTACGATAAAAAGTTATTATTATTAAATTATTAATATAATACAAATATTTAGATATAATTCTTCATAATCTGTGTAGCAACTTACATTCTAATTTACAGCTCACAGTTTGTTCACTTTTATTTCATTAAAATGACTTTATTCACATAGAAAGTGACATTAATGGTTGTTTGAACCACGGTTATAACGCTATCTGTGTCATTAACTATCACTAAGTTAACACAGAAAGCAAGCTTTAGCTAGTGAGACTGTTTAATGTACTCCATGTATACAGTATTTTCTGTATATTGTGTATTCTTTAGATACTCTAGTCATATGTGTCCTGTGTGTAAACTTGCTGCTAATGCTTCATTTTTATTATATCTTATTGCATCTTTTAAATATGTTTAACTCGTGTAATGCCTGAAAACACTTCTGCTGTGACACAATCATTTCCCAGTTTAAGATAAATCATTATTTAAATAAAGTATATATATTTATATATTTTAATTAGCTAAACCGTCGCTTAGCTTAGCGTTAGCTGCTAACTGAAGAACCCCATTAATTTCAATGGGAAAAATGCTACGTCACGGTGAGTGGCGATGATAATAAGCTAGTTAGCATATATTTAAAACCATATCTATGGTAAAGAGCACCAACACAACAACTCAAACTGTCTTAAAGACAACTGGTGTAATACATAACTAACATAAAGTCAGCTGAGCATTACAAATAAACTGTTACTCACCCAGAGCCGAACTAGAATAATAACTGTAGCTGTTAGACTTTAGCTGTTAGCCGTTAGCTGTTAGCGATAGCTTTTAGACGATAGCTGTTAGACTTTAGCTGTTAGCCGTTAGCTGTTAGCGATAGCTTTTAGACGATAGCTGTTAGACTTTAGCTGTTAGCCGATAGCTTTTAGACTTTAGCTCTTATCCGATGGCTTTTAGCCTTTATTTAAAGATAATTTGAGACTATTTTTGTCGCACATTTTAAGTTTTTTTGTGAGTTTCTTTCTTCCAAGATTACAGCTGTTGTGTTAAATAAGATAACTTCTTGTGAGGGCTACAAGCCTCACAAACGAACACACATCCTAAAGGTTATGCTTTTGTTTACATCAGACATACACAGACACATTGATTTGAAACAGCTTTGTTTTTGCTAGATTGAGTGCACGCAATATTGTTTAACATATCTATTGTTAATTGTGTTGTGTGTAATCATATTGTCAGTGTCTTATAGCTCACCTTGCTCCTGGCCAAAGGCTGCGCTGATGGAAAACACCTGCCTTCATAGATGTGTCAGCTAATCTAACCCTAACCCAACAAACTCTTCCTTGTTCTTAGAACCATCTGTGTACATGTTGAGGTAATTGTAGTACTTTTCATTCAGGTACATACTTGTTTTAATTCCCACTTCATTTATTTGCCACTCTTTTTTCCTTTCTACGATACTCACATATGTTTACTTCTGGGAAAAGCCATGGGGGAACATCATTACTCACTCTTACTAAAGCATCTATTGTGGACCGCCCTTTACGAAATCCGCTCTGAAAACGACTCAGCAGCCCTTTCTGTTCCAGTACATGTGAGAGCCCACACTCTTAGCCGGCCTAGTTGACTTTACTAGAAATTCGCGTGGAAACCCGTTGCCTCAAACCACTTAAGTTTTTACACAAGCAATCTTTTCCACAGCCATGGGTGTGTCTGTGTCTCTCATTCACTGTCCCTCAGGTTGTGGCATGTTTCGATTGCCAGTTTGTGGCTTTTATGTCTTGTGAACGCAACGCTGGCATAATATGATGTGGCCTGCTGACATGGCCTCTAATAAACACACAGGACTAAAATAATACGTGTTTAATTCAGCCCAGATGCGGTGACTGTAGCCAAATCCATTAATTAATGCGGCATATATTGAAGTGTTCAAAGTTGCACGTATGAGGCGCAGTGAGAACCACGTACCTGTCAGACTATAGCGAATGGGCACATTTAAATTTCAGGAGAATAATGAAGATGTGATTGGTTGTTCCACTCTCCGTTTCTCACGAGACCAGCGCGCTGCTGTTTACATTAGTGTGGACTGGACCGACTGAAACTGAGGGCAAGAATATAATAGGTATAGTATGACGAAGCAGAAAGTAAGTTAGCGAACATTATGAGCCACATTTCTTTCTATATTGTAGCCTGATGTGCACATCGGCTGTCAACAAAACAGTTTCTCAGTCCAATGCTAAGTTAGTGGCAGGCCCTGTGTGACTGGAGACTGTAAGGCTACAAAAAACCTAAACATGTCCTTAATGTTACTCAAGGCAAATATATGTAATATAACCGTTAGACTGCAGCTAACTGTGGGGCTACAAACCCCTCATACTGTGAGTGAATAACTTGAGATGGTTATGTTGTCTAAAGGGGAGACAATCATTATCGTATTATAGGCCATGCAAATACAGGGTCAACTAAGTGATAAAATAAGTGTTGTATAATATATGTTCTTGAATAATGTTATTTCATAAATAGTTGTTAATGTAATGATTACATTTTCTCCTTATTCAGTTCCACTATCAGATGATGCTGATGGTGATGACCCTGAGGGAGAGATGCAGGCAGAGCCCAGTGGACAGAACTGGCAGGTACAGAGGAAACTGTTTTGCTATGACTATGAAAACACTGAACAAAACCAAAGGAAATGTAATGACAACAGTATAAGCAAGCTATGTTCATGTTCTCTCAATAAGTTACTATATAGTTATTGATCAGAGTTTAATCCTTATGCTGGTTCTTATTCAGTACCAGCAGATGCTGAGGAGGTTGACAAGACAAGTCAAGATTCAGGGTCCAGCACAAGGGAAATTGCAACTGAGGAGAAAGACAGCGAAAGAGACGCACAGGAAGTTGACACAGAGAGGCCTTTTGATTATTTTGCTCGCCCTCAGCCCACCACCCACAACAAACTTCCAAGAAAGCCATTCCCAAAGTATTCCACAGCAAGGATGGGACAAATAGAAAATGGTTAACTTACTGTGAATCATCACACTCTCTATAATGCTCGCTGTGTCTCGTGTTTGCCAAGCCTGCCAGTGACAATGCTTTTGTTAAAGGAGGCATGCAGGCATGGAAGCATGTTCACCAAATAATGGAAGAGCATGAAAGAAGCTTGGGTTGCATCGAGATAGTGCAGATACATATTTCCTGAGAGCAAGCAGAGCTGATATCAGTAGCCTATACTCAAAGTGATTGATGCATTTAACTCCAAAATAAAAAACAAATCTTCCCGGGGGAGCATGCCCCCCCTAGGATTTGAGGTCCACCCCCAAATAAAACATGTTCACATGGATAGGTTCCCAAATACATATGCACACTTTTTTTTAACAATATCCTATGTCCATATGTTTCTATAGTAGATTTAAACTGTAGGGCTATCACTAAGGGCAGAAACGCAAAACGCCCCCAAAAAAAACTGGTAGTGGCCTGGCTGGGTGTATAATTCCCGGCCTGACCTATGGTCCCAGTCCGGCCCTGCTGACACATCACATCACACACCCATACACTACACACATTACTGATTAACTGATATCACAATTGAGTTACTCTCTTTAAATAAATATACTGTAATTGGAAAATAATCATGTGTGGTGTCCTTGTTTTGTCCGTCCTTGAGCCAGGGCTCCTTATTGTTGTAGGTTATTCTTGGTTTTAGAATTAATTCAGTAATGGTGTGTGTGTAACACAGAAATAATACATCATTGGATAGTGTTTCTCAAATGAAGGGGGAAAATAATGAAATAAAGTAATGTATTAAGACTCAGTGCGAGTTATTACTTTCTTCCTTTACTTGGCATTCTTCAAAAATACACAGACATTGCAGCACATCGTTTCACGTCTTTGTACTTTCTCAGCAGTAGAGTAATGTGTTGGCGAACCTTTGTTTCCTCCTGACAGCTCCCTTAAAGGTATACTCAATTCAATTCAATAGCTTTATTAGCATGACCTCAGTTACATATAGTATTGCCAAAGCTCTGTATAGTTGCAACATCTATACAAAATATATATATATATATATATATACAATATATATATACTCCCCCTTGTGGCCAAAGGGGGACACAACTCTTGTCTTCAGAAGTATGCTTGAGTGCAGCAAAATGTAGCACAGTGACTATTTTGTCAACTAAACATCATAAAACAATACATATTTTAGTAAACGGGAAATTATAATCTCCGCACATTAACTCTATATTTGCCTCTGCCATGGTGCCAAAATGAAATAAAATAAACAATATATAGAGGTTGCTTCTTCTCTGAACTTCTATGTATACTGCATCCCTCCATATCAAATAAACGTCGTGTTCACTGCAGCGATCTATTTCACACACAAAACTATATGAAAACTTGGTGATATACAGTGGCGTTTTCTCCTGGAGACCAAGCGAAGACAGGCTTCTCCTGTTTTTTCAGCCTTTGTTATCATTTTGATAATTAAAAATATATATTGTGGTCGTTTTTGCATTCAGGGCATACAAGAGGTGTAACATTATTTTAATACCAAAACTATATTGAAATAGAGTCTAGCTTGAACAGCAACTACATAGCTGTAACATTACTGGGTTATTTGGTGATAACTACCAAAGTCAAGTAACTTCAGACGCAGACGTCACGTGTCACGTTACTTCTCTCGCGGCATAGTTCACGGCATGGTAGGCGACGATCGACACGATTGGCTGCTCAGTTAGTTCAGTCTTTGGCACTAATCACACCTCATAGCGATCAACAGTCACCCTGTGATAGGCCAGCACTTATGGGCATGGCCCCTGGGCCTCTCAAGATGTTGTGCTGTTCAGGGAGCCAGGGCCGCGTCTACCAGAGCGTCCCACACAGCCAAGTGGACAGCGTTCCAGCGTTGGTGTGTAGGAAAAAGCCTGGACCCATTGCCAGTGAAGAATAAACATATTTATAATTAGTTTAGCTAGTTCCAGAGGTAGATAGAATAGCTAAGTGTGTTACTTCTAACTTAAACAATATTAAAGCAGCCTACCTTTTCTCACAGCGAAGGTCTTCCCTACTGCAGTGTAATGCACAAGTTCATCTGAAAAGATCATTTTCAACCATTAGTTTAATAAATTCAATCATATTCTAACAGGCAGCGCTAAAGCAAGCACACAATGAATGAATAACAAGTAGCATTCATCTAAATTCGGCCATTTACCATGGGAATCCATTTTTTCTCTGTCGCTCTTGTCTTCTTGCAGAATAAGAGGCAGAAGATGCAAGTCCTGTTTAAATACTGCATCATTTTCAAATCGAGCACATCAGCCAACCAGACACAAGTATTTTAAACAACCACGAAGACAAACAGCCAATCAAACACGGCTATTAAAACTGTTTTTTTTTCAAACTACTGTTCAAATCTATAGGCCTTTACCAGCCCTGAGCAGTTTACAACGCATCAAAAAGAAATACTGACGTTGATAAAATAAAATGTCAAAGCAATTTATTAATGAAAATGCAATAGTTCCTTGAGTTTATATGTAGGCAGATTTTTGAAGCAGTTATTGGAAGTTTTGGACGAAAGACTGTATTTTACAAGAGGCGTTTGAACGCATCATAGCTTCACCTCCTGTGAACGTTAGTTCTGTCCCTCATTTCTGTCATCGCATCAAACGAGTAAGTTGCTCTTCTTGACTTTAGCTTTGCAGTCTCTTCTTGTGCTTAGTTATGTATATTTAGCATGAATATGATAATGTGTAGTTTATTTTGGCGCTATTGTCATGTTTAAGCAGTTAAACCCTGCAGCCCCCGTTGGCGGGGATACAGGTTTTTTTCTTCACGGAACTGCGTCTCAGGGCTTGTTAAAATTTAACAACCTATTAATGTGTCATACTCAGTTAACGGGAAGAAACTCAGCTAACTGACGCACTAAGCCATATGAACCAATTTGACCGAAACAAAACACAACTCAAACGCCAAGCGTTTGAATTGGCACTAAGCTAAAGAGTGCTATATGATAAATCCAGGCAAATGTCCCCAGAAGTGGTTTTGTTTTGTAAACCTCTCTAAAAAAAGGTAAGATTTCACTTGTTTTGCATCAATCTTGATACAGGGTACTTATTATATGTTATAGTTTGGATTCCTAAAGCTTTTAGTCTACTATCCCATCATTCAAGGGTGGTGTTCACCAGGCGCGCCGGATTCATTTTAGAAGTGGGGGGGCCAAAAAGTGCGTGTGTATGGCCCAATCCCAAACCACGCCCTACACCCTACCCCTACACACTCCCCCTCCGTGACGGAGTGAACTCCGACACATGAGGCTCCCTCCTGTCAGATGGAGGGAGTAGATACAGCGGCAAGCTTTGGGACAAACTCCCCTCTCTCCGGCAGAAACAGGAAATGCCGTAACTGTATCAACAGTATCAAATCAGCATCTCTTTGACAAAAAATGTAAATTAATAACTAAAATAAAACTCCAAACATCTCTAATTGTGTTACTTTTTTGTAAAGCTCTTTTAGTTTTAAACCTGATGTTTATAAGTTTCTTAGTTTTTGCAACAGTCTGTAAATATACACAACTTTATAATAAAATGCACACATTTACCTTTTTCTAGACTAAACACAGGTAGATCCTAAGTTAAAAATATATATGAGGTTATCATGAGGTTGTTAACATCGCAGTTTATCAGTGGATGTTTGCTGGAAGCACAATAACTGCATGTTTTGCATTGCTTTTACATTTCAGTTAATATAGTGGTGAGAGACTCCCGATACATTAGATTTATAAGTTCATTAATTGTCTCATGATGCATATTTCCCAGTGAGCATGAAGCTTTTCAGAGTGGGGTTTTTCTCAGCTACGAGTTCTTTTGGAAATTGCGCAGTTGCTCCATCATTCCATCTCTTATTTTTTCCAGCTCAATACGCTGTTGTTTGACAAGCTGTATGTTGACTGGTGTTTGACTGAAGAAAGCGCACTTTTTTTTAATACACTCTCTGTGGAAATGAGACTTTTCGTGGCTGTCCAGGAGGCTTGGGCACTTTTTCCAGTTATTAACTCCGATATTAACAAAGCTATCATCTCCACATTTTGAGAAAGTTACAAGCCGTTTGACAGCAAATCTGCATATTTCACAGAAGGCCCGTTTAGTGGTTTTGCAAAGAATTAACCACTCTCTGTTTTTGTACCATTCTGCGTTGAAGTACCTTTCTCTTTGCCCAAATAATCTAGCGGTCAGTTAGCTGTACAGCTTTACCCGTCTCAATGTCCCGACAACAAACCTCCATGCAGTCGGAACCAGCCTGTTTCGGTTCAACGACGGCGGTGGCGGCGGTTTTGACAGTCTCTGCGGCCGCAGAGCTGCTGCTTTTGTGTTCATCTGGCTTCGCTGTTTCTATGATTGATGAAGGTCCAGGCTCCGGAGACGTGGATGTCAGGGATGTGACCTTCCAGTTGTTAATTTAAGTTTAGATTGACTGTATAGTTTTCTTCTGCGCTGGTTCTTCTGACTTGTTTGCAAGTGTATATATTTTTTCTATCTAGGTTAACGGCTGAAACACACAGAACAACGTAACAAATAAAGTAAACAACGTAACGAATAAACACATCTAAGCTTTTTTATTGGTTGTAATGTACATGGATACATTTGAATGGTGTGACAATGTCCTATTTGATTGGGTTAAAATGTACATATTCTTCCTGTTATGTCTGCCTGCTTTATTTTACCTAATGCAAACCTGCTCCATCGAAATCAGTCGCATTGACCCGAAGACACATTTTGAGTTGTATACACTGTTGGAAAGAGGAGATTCATAGTGTTAGCAGAGTAAGCATAACTTCATTGCTGTTTAGCATCCAAATAAGCGGAGGAGTAACGAAACATCAGAGACAGTGGCATTTCATTCAACGGGCCCTCCCATTGGAGGCGTGGCTTTATTTATACCCATCCTTGACCTTTAACCTGTTACGCTATTGGCTTCCAGTCATGCACAACAAATAACACAAATTGGTAACATATTTACCTGAATGTTAACACCCCCACTTGATAACACATTTGTGGTCTTTTAACAAATAAAAACATTATAAGGTTCTCTACCTTACAGAAATTGTTACTCACCAAACATAAACTTTGCAAACTTAATCAACTTAAACTTTGGTGCAGGTTTTGTCATAACATCTGCCACCATCTGGTCTGTTGGACAATAAATCAGATTTGTTTTTCCCCCTTCCACAGTTGACCTCAGAAAATGATACTTAATGTCAATATGCTTGCATCTCTGTCTGTTAACAGGATTCTTTGCCAACGCTATTGTGCCCTGGTTGTCTTCGTAAATCGTAGGTAGTGTATATTCACATTTGTCAATGCCCTCTAGTAGTTGTATTAAGTACATACACTCCTGCATAGTAGCTGCTAAAGCCATATACTCGGCTTCACAAGTTGATAAAGCAACAGTTGGCTGCTTTTTGGTTTTCCAAGAAACCAGTGGCCCGCTCTCATTAAGGCTAACACAATAACCTGACATACTACGTCTGTCGGTTAGATCAGCAGCCCAATCTGCATCGCTGTATGCTTGTAAGCCCAGTTTTTCACTCTTACATTTCCGGTAACACAGCTTCCTGTCGATTGTACCTTTCAAATATCTCAGTACATGTGTGACAGTAATCCATTGCTCTTCTGTCGGCTCAGAAAAATACTGGGACAGTTTACTGACAACAAAACTCAAATCAGGCCTCGTGCACACAGCTAGGTAGATCAGGCTACCTACTGCCTCTCTGTACATTCTAACATCCTTCATCGGTACAGCATCATCCAAGTAGTTCAGTTTTTGCTCACAAGGTGTCGCTCTCGGTTTACAATCCTGCATGTTAAACCTTTCAAGTATTTTGTTCACATATTTCTTCTGTGACATCTTTACACATGAATCAGTTTGATCAAAATCAATGCCAAGGAAATGTTTTAGTTTCCCCAAGTCCTTCATCCTGAATTTAGCTGTGAGCATCTCTTTAACAACTTTCAATGCATTGTTATCACTAGCTGCAATGATTATATCATCAACCCATATTATCATTATCACTTTCCAGTTTTCAGTTTCTTTTGTGTAAACACAATGGTCAGCAGGGTTCTGTAGGAACTCATTTTCACTCAGATACTCATGTAGCATTTTGTTCCAATTTCTGCCTGACTGTTTAAGCCCATATAATGACTTTTCTAGCTTGTACACCAACTTTTCACCTTTACTAGATTTGACCTCAAAACCCTCTGGCTGGTCCATGTATATCTCACAGTCTATTGGTGCATGTAGGTAAGCAGTTTTAACATCCATTTGGTGTAAAATCAGATTTTCCTGTGCTGCTTTTTGCATTAACACTCTGATACTGGTGAGGTTAGCGGTAGGTGAAAATGTCTCATCATAGTTTTCACCCCTCTTCTGACTGTATCCCTTGGCTACATATCGTGCCTTGTATCTTTCGGATCCATCAACATTGGTTTTGATATCGTACACCCATTTACCCCCCACTGCTTTCTCATCTTGAGGTAAGTTGGTCAGGATAAATGTGTCATTCTCTTTTAGTGATTGCATTTCTTCATCCATTGCAATAACCCATTGTTTGACTCAGATGAAGTTACAGCCTCCCTAAAT